GGCCTCCTGATGGTGTGGAGAGAGAGAGAGAGAGAGAGAGAGAGAGAGAGAGAGAGAGAGAGGGATGGAGTAGGGAGAAAGAAGGATGGAGGAAAGGAGAGGAGGGAAGAAGATAGGGAAGGAGGGAGTGAGGGGCGGTAAGAGTCTATTATATGAGGTAATTCAGATGTGTGATCTAGGGAGCCATTCTTGTCAACACCAACATATTCATTTGGAACTGTTACCGCGTTTGTCTGGTGGAGGAGGAGGAGGAAGAGGAGAAGGAAGAGGAGGAGGGGGAAGAGGAGGAGGGGGAGGAGGAGGAGGAGAAGGAGGAGGAGGAGGCGATCTACGGTGTACACTAGGATTACTCTAAGACTACAATACAGTACACGTCAGGCTACAGCACTACACTAAGACTACAATACAGTACACGTCAGGCTACAGCAATACACTAAGACTACAATACACCCCAGGTTACAGCAATACACTAAGACTACAATACAGTACACGGCAGGCTACAGCAATACACTAAGACTACAATACACCCCAGGTTACAGCAATACACTAAGACTACAATACAGTACACGCCAGGCTACAGCAATACACTAAGACTACAATACACCCCAGGTTACAGCACTACACTAAGACTACAATACAGTACACGCCAGGCTACAGCAATACACTAAGACTACAATACACCCCAGGTTACAGCACTACACTAAGACTACAATACAGTACACGCCAGGCTACAGCAATACACTAAGACTACAATACACCCCAGGTTACAGCAATACACTAAGACTACAATACACCCCAGGTTACAGCACTACACTAAGACTACAATACACCCCAGGTTACAGCACTACACTAAGACTACAATACACCCCAGGTTACAGCAATACACTAAGACTACAATACAGTACACGTCAGGCTACAGCAATACACTAAGACTACAATACACCCCAGGTTACAGCAATACACTAAGACTACAATACAGTACACGCCAGGCTACAGCAATACACTAAGACTACAATACACCCCAGGTCACAAGGCAGCAATACACTAAGACTGGCTAACACACGCCAGGCCACAGCAAATACACTAAGACTACAATACAGTACACGCCAGGCTACAGCAATACACTAAGACTACAATACACCCCAGGTTACAGGACTACAATACAGCAATACACTAAGACTACAATACACCCCAGGCTACAGCATACACTAAGACTACAATACAGTACACCAGGCTACAGCAATACACTAAGACTACAATACAGTACACGCCAGGCTACAGCAATACACTAAGACTACAATAGGCTACAGCAATACACGCCAGGTTACAGCAATACACTAAGACTACAATACAGTACACGCCAGGCTACAGCAATACACTAAGACTACAATACACGCCAGTTTACAGCAATACACTAAGACTACAATACACGATAGCTATAGCAAAATACACATCAAGGCTACCGGTCCAGGAAGTAATAATTCTGTATACACTAATAATATTCATAGTGGTCAGAGAAACTTGTGGGTGATGTGGAGATAAACTGATTTACCTGTGTGTGTTCTGGACGTGGGTGGGGGGGCCTGTGTTTGTGTGCAGGTGTCTAGGTGTTGTATATTACCTGTTGTAGGGGACCAGTGATTATTATAACATATATTTAGACTCTCTCTCTCTCTCTCTCTCTCTCTCTCTCTCTCTCTCTCTCTCTCTCTCTGAGATCGTATTAATACAAGGTTAAAAGGTGATGCATAACTGTAAAACAGATAGGTATTGTGAAGAAAATTATCATTACTTAATTAATACATACATAAGATAACACACATACATACACACACACACACACACACTACCTTCCTCATCTAAGGCACAGAATAAACAACATCCAAACAGTTCACGGTAATTAATTATTCTCACTAGACAATTAAAATGTACAGTCCACGTCTTGTATTACTGGGAGCTTTAAATTATTATAATATTTAGCGTTAAGGTCACGAGCCAACTATTTCTATCAAGACGACACGTGTTTTACACTTTATCTTCCTTAGAGAAACTGTGTAAGAATAATGTTGAAAATCCCTTCAGATGTTTGTGTTCGTTCTCACTGACTGCCACAGAGACAGTGCCGGGAACTGAGAGAATATAATAATTTCATTCAGGACTTTCAGCTCTTATATGACGGATGTAAAAGTTGAGTGAAGTATTGGTGGTGTGGCTGCTTGACCGTACACTATTACTCTTGCTGGTCCGTGTCTTATGTGTCACGCTGGGCTTCTTGGTTAGTGTGTCATGACTGTGGTGCCAGGGACGTATGTTTATGGCAGCACAACCTAAGCTTGATACATGTCGGTACTGGAGATATATGGTATTGCTCAGCGACTCCTGTGTTGAAGCTGGGAGCATATTGTCACAGGAGCAATATGGAGTTTCAAACGTCGACTTTCCACGGCAGCTGTTCATCACACCACCCATGGAATAAACTTTTAACAGGAGTAACAAGACAAAGTGTGTGGCTGTGAGATGCTGTGTGAAGTAGGAAACTGTGGTTGGTGACACCATATTATTACCTCCATAGATGACTGTTACAGGATTGTGGTAGGACGGACAGGAACAGATGAAGGGAGCCACTAGGAAGTGAACTAGCCTAGTATGACTAAAGTTTAGCAGAACGTGTACTGTATATAGTAAAGGTATTGCTCAGTAGCTGACGAAACCTCTTCCAGCCATCGCCAGTAAACCGAGCTTTCCCTTATCTCTAGCAGGCTAGCAGCAGATGACGCAACACAAAATCTTCTTAAAGCTTCAGTTTAGGGAAGGTTGTTTTGGTAAAGCTTTTAATAGCCACATTAGTAAGAGGCTCAACATCTTCAAAACAAACAGCCATAGTGGTCGCGGGGAAACACGTAACTCGGAGGCGTACACGAGTTTCTTCGCTCGCATACAGTCACGACAACTACCTACTGGAGTTGTGCTGTAAACACCTGGATCAACCACTTTGGCACTGGCTTCAGTGGACAGTAAGCTTGATATAACAGATGAGGCTTCTTGACGAGGGTAACTAGGAAAATTGAATACAACAGTTCAGAAACACCAAGCTGCTTTAACAGTTGCAGTCAAAAATGTGGTCACTCTCAAAGTCAACACCAAGAGTCATGATAAATCTTCACAAACAGCTGATATAAAACTGCTTCAGATTACAACTTTTGCCAAGTCTCTGTTAGTGCTTAAAAAAAAACTCCGGGACGTGAGCGTATGCACAGCAAAAAAGGGACACTGCGGTGGGGTAGAATATTACTGCAGATAATGGTCATGATAAGACGTGGGTGTGGAGGTCATGGTTTGCTATTACCAACATAAGCTTGCAGCACAGCTTATCCTGCATGCAGGAGCCCGAGTCCGTACCAGAACTGCTGACACCCAAGCGGTAACTGGAAACTTAAGACTTTCATTATCCCCAGCAATTCCGGCCTACACGCCCTAATTGGATGCGAGTCGGTGAGTGCATTTGTTGGTCGTAATAAAAAGACAGACTTTCAGCTTGTGTGACGAAATACAACACACAGACGTACGCTATATAACCTGGAAGACACAAGACACCATAACATTCTCTCTGAGGAAGTTGTAGCACTTGTCTGCCGTGTGTCTGTTGATGACCTGGGCTGTGCAATATTCGGTAACATCTACCGTCCTCTACCTACAATTTTCCTTATTGTACAACCACGTCCTTCAAGCAAGTTAACAACCAACAATAAGACGAACAGCTTTAATCAACCAGTTCCTCCCCCCCAGGTGGTCCAGGACATGGCTGGTGTGAGACAGATAGACAACTGATGATAAAGTGAGATTTCAGCGCCTGACTCAGTTGTTCATCTGCTGTTATGAGGCAGCGCCGCCATCTGCCTCGTCAGCTGTGGTGATATTTGTCTCAGAAAATTACTTGAATCTACACGTCGCTGTGATGATTTTCTTCTCACAACATTGTACACCTACAGGTCGTTGTACTGAGGTACTTGATGTAAACAACTTGTCCTACATGACACAAATGATACGAAAAACATTGTACTGTATAGCAGAAGCGGTCCTTTAATATTACATAAATATATACGTACAGCTGCTTGTTGATAATGTAAATTAAGACAGGTTAAAATTTTAGAAGAAAGCTTGTATTCAACGTCATATAAAATAATGTGTTGAGAGGAAGTGTTAACGTGTGGTGACGGGAGACAAGAGAGGGTCCACCTTTATACACGAGAAGCTGAGGAAAAATAAACCTGCTTGTGTTTCAGCAACTTTGACGTGTTACATGGTACCAAGAAGCATTTGTTCAGGGCCTTTATCCGGGTCACCTCGTCGACCATAGACACAGAGACACACAAAGACAGACAGAGACAGACAGACAGACACACACAGGACCAGATCTATAGTTAATCCTATATGTTGACTCTATGATTCTTATATTTTTGTAATGAAAGCTTTTGACAATCAAGTGACCCACTCTCCGATTTCACCTTATGTAACTTATTTTCTCTGTTTATTGTATATTTTCAGCCTTCTGGCTACCATATTATCTTAATAAACCGTTAATTATTACTATTATTATTACACACACACACACACACACAGTGAAGCTTCTTACAGATATCAATATGGCCACAGCGCTATATTTTGCTACCCACAAGGCACATTAAAACTACCAACGATAGGCACTGCTGCTAATAGTGCACAATAAAATAAATTACAGTCAGATTACAGTGGAGGTAGACTGCGAAAAGTGTATGGTGGCTACATTCACTATACGAGAGCTACATGCAATGCACGGGGTTGGGTACATACAGTGCACGTCGGTACGTAGAATGTACGGTGTGTACATATAGTGCACGGGGTTACATACAGTGCACGGTGACTACATGCAGTGCACGGTGGCTACAAACAGTACACGGGATGAGATACATACAGTGCACGTGGGGTATACACAGTGCACAGGGGCGAGGTAAAGTACATACAGTGCACTGTGAGAGGCCAGGCGTCTTCCAGGGTGGCCGGAGGGGAGTGGGTCTCCGCTATACACCGGAGGGTCGAACCATTGTCCTCAGGTCGTGGGGCGAGGAGGAGCCTGCTGGTGGTTACATTGCCGTCCGCTGAGGTCTGGAGGAAGTGGAGGGAAGAGGCGAGAAAGGTGAGATTAAATAACTTACTTTAGGGATTTGGGTATGATAAGTAGTACAGTATGTATGTATGTATGTATGTATGTATGTATGTATGTATGTATGTATGTATGTATGTATGTATGTATGTATGTATGTATGTATGTATGTATAAACAGGCTCTCTCTATGCAGCAGTAATTGGGAACCTGGATGTTAATAGATTCGCGGATCGTGTAGTGTAGCTGGCAAGTTGTCTGGTCTTTTTGGATTATTTCTTAAAATTGGGTGATACAGCTCGTTAACTTGGGGTGTGGTTGCTGTGTTGGCGACAGCTTCTAAATCCACGCCTAGGTAATCCTATGGCCGGTCAGCTTTGGACACAAAGGGCAACCATAACAATCATATATATATATATATATATATATATATATATATATATATATATATATATATATATATATATATATATATATATATATATATATATATACGCCCGTAGTCCCTCCCCCAAACCAAAATGTCACAACAAAGTTTTACGCTTGCTACTGCTCCACAGAGTTACCAAATAAAAAAATCATTAATTTTTTTTTTTTTTACACATTTGCAGTATTGCCATCGTGGGCGAGGCTTCGCACTTCGCCGGAGGACATTTAGAGACACATATTGGAGGGCTCGATGATGGTGAGAGTTTGGGTCAACTTCAATGATACTAACATCTCTCTCTCTCTCTCCTCCATTATTGTTTTCAAAATGCATATTTCTATCAATATATTTAATTTATTCTCGGACTGTTTCTTTTTCTGTGTGTGTGTGTGTGTGTGTGTGTGTGTGTGTGTGTTTGCCAGTGTCTTCTCACCACCACACTCACCGTGACTGAGGCCTGAAGGACCCTCTCAAAGCCGCTCCACCAGGACACAGTCGGAGGTGGACGGGCTCCCACCACCACACACTTCACCACGTACTCTTCCCCAGCTCTCAGGGGCGCCTGGGGGTCCGGGGGGCTGATCTCCACCTTTAACGGGGGCACTGTGAGTAGAAAGAAGACGAGGAGTTAAGGTTGGAGTGTCTGGGGGAAATCAAGGGAAGTTCAGGGGGAAAATTTGGGGGCTGAAGGGGTGACCACAATTTCCTTTCCATACTTCACCCAGCATAGAGGTCTGGGGAGAGGCGGCTGCTCGAGGGCAGAAGAGAGGTAGTGTGGGAGATGTAAGGAATTTAGGGAGATAAGCTTTTAACTCCCCATAGACTCCTTAGTCCTTACGAGTTCCTCAGTGTGAAAGATGTGTTGTTATGCTACATGTCCCTGAAACCTGTGGCTGCAGGGTCTAGCACCAAGGCAGCCCGCAATGCTAAGGGTCATTATACTAGATCTGGGGTCACTGTACCTCAGGGAGATGTTCTGGGTCCCCTGTTGTTGAAAATCTCTACCTATAATTTTCTACATCTATCTTATGTCTGCAGGATATATATAATATCAACAACTAAGGCTCCACGTGAGAATCTAAATTTAAATATAAAAAAAGACCAATATAGTAATGATGAAACATGTTAAGTGTACCTGCAGTTTAACAACATTTCAAACGCTCAATCCTCTCTCATTTCTGGTCTAATACAGAACACATTTTATCAACGTATATAAATTGCACAACAGGTATTCATGTTACGTCAGTAACTTTTATACAGTACAAATTAAAAACTATTTGACTGGAAATTAAACCTTCTGGTTAAATTCCTTTCTATAAAAGATTAAAATCTAAAGCAAATGAAAATTCCCTACGTCATGACAAATTCTGAATACCAGTAAATTTACGATGAAATAATAATAATAATAATAATAATAATAATAATAATAATAATAATAATAATAATAATAATAATAATAATAATAATAATAATAATAATAATAATAATAATAATAATAATAATAATAATACATGTAGTTTAAGTTTGCATAACCAAGGCCTTCAAAGCACGTATTCTTAGTAAATCAGTAGATCAGAAAAAAAATAAAGAAACGCAAAACAGTATTCTTCCTTATTAAGTGAACAGTAATTTATATCCCACAGGTGCTACTAATAACTTAAATCATTATTGTATTTACCTTATACACGTAGAGTACAAGTGTCTCACAAGTCACACACCACAGGAATCATAAACAAATCAACAAAGATGGTACAGAATTAACGCGAGATGAAAGAGTCTGTTTAATATTCATGTAAGGGGGAGAGCCACACGCCACACACCGATAAGTTGAAAAATTTTTGACTCGATATTAACTAAAATCTATCGTCTACCAAAATCATCTAAGAAGAATTGAAGTATGAAAACAGACCATCATCACTTCTGGATGCAACACAGATTACCAGAGAAATGCTAATGAGAGTTAAAATCCCACCTTCATAAAATTTAAAGACCTCGACCCTATAAAGTAACGCCATTAATCACCACCTTTCGTTTATTTCAGTCTGGGGTAGGTTAATGTTTCTATGATATTTATATGTTATTTATATGTATTGTGCGCGTATACAGCCGTGGTGTTTATGTACGTATGTTAAGATAGTTCATACACACGGGAATAATGATTAGAAATTTAGGAAGGTAGTTCTTTCTATGGTAGGTGAAGGCAGTAGGTTCCATGCGCGTCTATAACACACTAATGATGATGATGAGTGCGTGAGTGAGTGAGTGAGGGGAAGTGCGTTAGTAAAGATCAGTACACTATAATATTCTTAAGAGTGAAAATTGACTCAAACATGGCAATGAAAACCCACACGTAGACTATTGTTAATGTGTAAGTGAAGAAATGATTAACCTTAAAACGCCTCTCACATAGTAAATAACCAAAGCAATAAAACTGTACGATGGCAAGAATTCATGTTCACACAGTATCTACTATAGGTGTCCCAGAAAAATGTCCCTGCTTCCCTCCCTGCCTGCCTGTTCCTTGAGACACTGAGTTGCAGGCAGGGAGGGAAGCAGGGACATTTTTCTGGGACACCCTATATATCACTCCCTTGAATCACCTTTCCTCCCTACTACCTTCATCCCCCAGGCGAGTACAAGTCACATAGCTCAACCTGGACGTATGATCTGGCAGTGTAAGTGAAATGCTAAAATACTCCAGAATCTCTCACCTCACACCAGCCATATGACACATAATATGACACAAGGAACTCCAACCAACAGCAGAATGAACGTGGCTGTATTGACCTCAAAAACAATACCTAAACACCTACACCTGACCCATTTATCTACCTTATCAAACACAGCGAGAGACCAAACAAATGTCATTGTCAAAACTGATATTGATGTTATAATGTTTGACTACAATGGTCTTTCAACGTGTATTCAACTATAGTCATCAATAATTGGTCTTTCAACGTGTCTTCTCAGTTAGTCGCACTATAGTCATCAATAATTAAAAGCAAAAACAAACAGAACTCTTATAATTCAAATCTATTTATCAAATTTTCGTCTCTGACCAAAGAGTAAAAAAGACACACCTTAACCCTTTGAGTCCTGAAGGGTTAAATCATTCCATCAAAGGGTTAAATTAGTGTAGTCAAAGGGATAAATTAGCATCCTTAAAAGGTTAAATTAGCGCTCAAAAAGGGGTAGTAAACTAGCATCGTCAAAGGGTTAAACTAGCATCGTCAAAGGGTTAAACTAGCATCCTCAAAAGGTTAAATTAGCGTAGTCAAAGGGTTAAACTAGCATCGTCAAAGGGTTAAACTAGCATCGTCAAAGGGTTAAACTAGCATCGTCAAAGGGTTAAACTAGCATCGTCAAAGGGTTAAACTAGCATCGTCAAAGGGTTAAACTAGCATCGTCAAAAGGTTAAATTAGCGTTGTCAAAGGGTTAAACTAGCTTCGTCAAAGGGTTAAACTAGCATCGTCAAAGGGTTAAACTAGCCTCGTCAAAGTAAATAGCGTATCAAGGTTAACTAGCTTCGTCAATTAATATTCAATTAACTAGCACGTCGGTTAAATTAGCAGCTTAAGCATCGTTAGGGTTAAATTAGCGTAGTCAGGGTTAAACTAGCATCGTCAAAGGGTTAAATTAGCGTAGTCAAGGTAACTAGCATAAAGGTATTACTAGTTAAGCATGTCGTTAGCGTAGTCAAGGGTTAAAGAGCATCGTCAAGGGTTAAATTAGCGTAGTCAAGGGTTAATACATCGTCAAGGGTTAAGTGGGGTTAATTAGCGTAGTCAAAGGGTTAAACTAGCATCGTTAAAGGGCTAAATTAGCGTAGTCAAGTAAACTAGCATATGGGTTAATTTTGGTAGGGTTAAACTAACATCGTCAAAGGGCTAAACAGTCTATAGCTACAAACAGGTATTGTGGAGCTGGCGTCTCAAGACCAGCTGAAGCGAGTACGATCACAGGCAACGGAAGCAGCTAAACCTTTAATACACTTAAGCTTTAAGCTGAAGGTGAGGGAGGATGACAGCTCATGCCCAGTGAATGACAGGGAGAGAAAAGTTGAGTTTTCTTCTTGTAATGTTGCGCTGTACAGAGAGATTGATGGATTGATTGAGACAGAGAAACAGACAGACAGACAGAAAAAGAGAGACGGACAGGGGAAAGATTTCTCTCCATTTCTATATAATATTATGATACAAAACTTCCACTAGAGAGAGAGAGAGAGAGAGAGAGAGAGAGAGAGAGAGAGAGAGAGATGGGGGGAACTATTACACAGAATTAAACCATCTAGGCAGCACAACACGTATCTGAAAATGTTATTATAAAATTCAATATAATTTCCAAGAGTTTAATTGTTATTGATAAAATGTATGATAATTCAGTTTTCAAATAATGGAAAAAGCAATTAACTTTCTAACAAGAAAAAATGGGGCGAATGACGCCAAGTATATTTCCTGATAAATACGGGAGAGAAAGAGAGAGAGAGAGAGATTAAATACAAAAACGTTTAAAAAAGAAAATGAGATAGAGATAACTCACAATTCATATCCACGGTGACCAGGAGGGAGGTGGGCAAGGTAATATTATTATTGGAAGCTTCACATGTAAGTAGCAACTTCAAGTGGCTGCGACTAAGAGGCCCCAGAGAGAGCGTATTGAACGGCTCCCCTCCAAAGGCTGGCGATGAAGTGGGGCGCCCTGGCGTGAGCGTAATAAATGGGTCTCCTCTTCCATAGGCTGGCCGTGGCGTTGGGGGCCCCAAAGTGAGCATATTGAATGGATCTCCTAAGTATGCTGGACGTAGTGTTGGAGGCCCCGGGCCGAGCGTCGTTATACCCAGTTCGTCAAAAGCTTCGTGAATATTACTTGAAGCGTCAGACTCCATGTAGCTGTCGAGGAGGTAAGTACCTTCGAACCAGACAACAGATGGACGAGGGTTGCCTGCAGAGATGAACGAAAATAAAGAGAAAATAATGAATAAAAAAATAAAAAGTTTTACTCGGGATATATAAATCATTTTAATTCAATCTACTCTAGTGAACTTGACCTGGATGTTGACCTTTGACACACACATACATACATAATCACATACAAACATACACTCCTTGATCATACACTTAAAATTATACATACACACAAATAAACACACACACACACACACACACACACACACACACACACACACAAATAAACACACACACACACACACACACACACACACACACACACACACACACACACACACACACAAAGGAAAAGATTAAAGACAAACTTTCTTACCTCGTGAGAGTTGAGGAAGATACTTGATTTGGAGTCAACCATACTCTCTCTCTCTCCTCTTTTCTCATTCATCTCATCTCTCACTTTCTCTCTATTCGTCTCTTATCTCTCTCTCTGTTATCTGTCTGCCTCTGCCCATCAGTCAGTAACAACTTCTATGGTTTACCTGGCTGGTAGTCTCACCTGGTGACCGCCTAGGCTGACAGGTAAATCCCAGGGGGGGGGGGGAATGGTTGGTCGTGAAAGATTCATACCAAGGGTTCAACTTTGGCACCATAATGCTTTTAAAACCAACCTTTGTGTGTGTGTGTGTGTAGGCTACATGTTCAGCAGACACACACACACACACACACACACACTTTAACGCCACTAGCTAAGCTGCAGGATTAAAAATTATTCATGAAAAGTTGAGAAAGAAAAAAATGAAGATAAGATAAAATGACAACGAAACAAAAATTGTATAATGTTGTTTAGAGGAAAAATTCATCTTGACACCGAAATGAAAAATATGAAGTGAAAATTAATAAAAGCGTAAAGGAGGAAATTGATGGATAGAACAGCGCTCGCTTAAACAAAATTGACCGTAAAAAAAGAAAGTTGACAGATTGATAAAGTGTCTGCTACACAGGGCCGGATTAAGCTTAATAGGGGCCTGAGGCACAGATCAAACTGGGGCCCCCTACCCTCAAGGTATATATATATATATATATATATATATATATATATATATATATATATATATATATATATATATATATATATATATATATATATATATATATATATATATATATATAGCAAGAACAAAATATACCAAGATTTATCAAAGATTTCACCAAAATTAAGCTTCTGCAAAATAACACATTCAATGTTCATAAGAGACAGAAAATTGAGACGTTGCTAGGACATCGTTGAACGAAGTTCATGTTTTATACGCTTCAACTTCGAGAATGTTTGGATTTGGGGGCCCCTTAGAGTCGGGGGGCCTGAGGCCAGTGCCTCAAGTGCCTCATGGTTAATCCGGCACTGCTGTCACAGCTCACACATGAATATATATTGTGTGAGTAGAAGGTGAAAGGAGAGAGAGAAAGTACATAGCATAAAAGAGTTTGTGTGAGAAAGATTTAGATGAAGAGGAATTTAGTTGCTGTAGAAAAATACATTTAAGGAAGGTTATATTGTAGAAAGGAAAGTCGATACAGGGGAAAGCTTAACCCTCTGGGAAATTAACACACGCGACAGTTTAAGGTTATTGAAATTTGCCACAGCAGAAAGCTTCATCCGGTAGAAAGTCAACACAGGAGAAAGCTACATCCGGTAGAAAGTCAACAAAGGAGAAAGCTTCATCCGGTAGAAGTCAACACAGGAGAAAGCTTCATCCGGTAGAAAGTCAACACAGGAGAAAGCTTCATCCGGTAGAAAGTCAACCTAAGAAAAGCTTAATGCTGGAGAAAGTTATCACCGGAGAAAACTTAATTTATTAATAAGTTAACCAAACAGAAATCTTAGTAAATGAAGACGTTAACTCCACAGAGAAAGTGATGAATTAAAGTTTGAGTAAAGAAAGTATGTACAGGAGAAAGTTTTATTGGAAAATCATGCACAATGATTTCAATACAGAGCAAATTATTTATAGAAAGTTAACATAAAGAAAACACAAGGGAAATTGAGGAAAGTTTAAAGATTATATAGTAAAAGTTAACACAAAAGAAAGTTGAATAAATTAGAAAGTTGACAAAGATAAAAATCCATATATTAGAATTTTATCACGACAAAGAGGGTTTAAAAATAAATAGAACAATAAGAAAATAACAAATCTCATCAAAATAGAAAGCTAACACAGAAGAAAGTTACCGGAGAAAGTAGGAAAGCACAGAAGACAGTTAGTAGAAGAGAAAGTATAGTGTATCACGAAGATAAGACAAGAGAGAGCAAAGTAAAAAGATAATTTAATGCCGAAGAAAGTTAAGACTAGAGAGTTAGATAAAGACTTGGATGCAGGAGAAAGTTAACCCGAGAGAAAGTTTAACATGGCAGAAACTTTTTAATATGTGAGAGACTTGTGTGTATAGAGGAAGTGGATTAAGGTGGATAAAGGCGGAGAAAGGTTGGTAGGAGGAGGGATGAAGGTGGATGGGGTGGATGGGAAAGGGGATGCATAAAACTGGATAGAGTGGCAGTGGGAAGGAGGGTGCATTAAGGTGGATAGGGCACAAGGGGATGGATAAGAGTCGATGGAAAGGGTAATGGATATAGATGGATAGTGGTAGAGGAAGGAGAGGCGGTGGATGTATCAGATGGAAGAGGAAATGGATGGGTAGATGGGTTGAGAGAGAGAGAGAGAGAGAGAGAGAGAGAGAGAGAGAGAGAGAGAGAGAGAGAGTTTCACAGTCGACATATTGTCTCCCTTTTAAGTATCCTGTTAAATTAGAATTAATATTAACCCTTTGATATGCAACAGGATATTTGCATATTTTTGACGTCCATGTGAATATTCCAATACTGTAATCTGTTTTACATGTAATATACCACTGGGTAATTCTTGTATATAATGTATATTATCTTCGTTTCATTATATCATATTCTTAGTTTATTCTATTTTCGCGTGTGTAAATTTTCAGAACAAAAATTATTATTATTATCATCATTATCATTTAAAGTTACTTCTATAAATCCCTCTTTCTGTTTCTCATTCTCTTATTCACTCTCTTTCCTTAACTGCTATTTATCATTTAGTCACTTTCTCACTCTCCTCTCACACTTTCTCACTCTCCTCTCACACTTTCTCACTCTCCTCTCACACTTTCTCACTCTCACAGTTTCTCACTCTCCTCTCACACTTTCTCACTCTCCTCTCACACTTTCTCACTCTCTCTCACAGTTCTCCTCACTCTCCTCTCACACTTTCTCACTCTCCTCTCACACTTTCTCACTCTTCTCTCACACTTTTTTTATAGTATCTACCTGTGACTGTCTCTCACTCCCCGCTGGTGTCTTCGTGTGTCTGTCAGTGTCTACGTACCTCCATAAGCAACACAGGTGAGCTTAGGTGTGTCGCCCTCCAGGTAAGGACCCACCACACTGCTCGACCTGCTGCGGGGGGCGGTCTTGTGTCCTCCCATCACCACACTCACGCGCTTCGGGGGTACTGTAGGAGGGGGGGTAGTTGTGGTTAGTAGTGGTGGTGATAGAGATGGTGGTAGTAGTGATGGTGATGATGGCGAAAATGGTGGTAGTGATGATGATAATAGTCATCTGTTTCCTGGTAGTAGTGATGGTGATGATGGCGAAAATAGTGGTAGTGATGATGAGAATAGTCATCTGTTACCTGGTAGTAGTGATGGTGATGATGGCGAAAATAGTGGTAGTGATGATGAGAATAGTCATCTGTTACCTGGTAGTAGTGATGGTGATGATGGCGAAAATAGTGGTAGTGATGATGAGATTAGTCATCTGTTACCATCTGAAAATATGATATTCAGGCTAAAATATTGTCATAAAAGTCTTCAAGATATAGGTGAACAACATTAGTGATGAAATACACTAAAACATGATTAAATATAGTTTTATAACATCATCTAACATAAACCATGCAAAAATAACTATTGTATAATATTAAGGTCAGTATGTGTCAACTTTTACCATTCAATAGATAACATTCAAATATTTTATTCATTAATTTCATGTTTCCAAGATAAGTTCAGTGGTGTGTTAATGAGACCACACGTACAGTATATACTTGGGGCGGTCAAAAGGCTCTGCAATAATCATAGGTAAAGTAATGCTGCAGGGCTCTGAATTTATGGTAACATTGAGTTGAATGCTTGGGGGATTTGTCTGGGTTAATTTGAATAATGTGGCGCCTACCTATCGTTTCAGAGTGAGTGTTTAAAGTATGAATTACGAGAAAATTACAGAGTTTGGCAAGTAAATTAGTCGACGCTTCGTGGGAGTGTGAGGTACAGATGACCTTCATATACCGTCATAACAAGGCCGGTCAAGGCGTTCAAGTGTGGGCGTGAGAACCTTGAGATGTCACCGAGGCGATAACTGTTGATGGGGAGAGAACTTAATTATGACGAACCAAAGTATCAGAGTCGATGAAATAAGCACTGAGGTTGGCAGCTTACATGGTAGTGTTGTGACCATCATCAGTGAATATTTGAAGATGTGTGAGTTTGTCAGTGTAAACGAAACATCAGCGCTCAAGATTGACACCAGAGACCAGCTGTATGTCACAAACTCCTTGAACTATATGAGACCGATCCATCCAACTCTCCTGCCTGGTGGCGAAAGATGAGAACTGGATTCCTCACTGGGACTCCAAGTTAAAGATGGAATCCACCCACAAACGGAAGCAATAGAATTCTCCGACTCTTTCAAGAAGTTCTGAAATCATGGCCTCGATTTTCTGGGAAGCCAAAGGGATTCTGCTTATCGACTCCGGTCCATATAAAACATATTTCACCAGCGACTATTATGTTGGCATAATGGGAAAATTGCACAACGTCATCTGGAGAAAAAAAACCGACGTGAATTCTAACATGAGGTATGGTGTACTACTGCTCCACGACAATGTACTGATCCACTAATCCCGTGTCGCACAATATTTCTATTCACGGTTGTGGCTTCGATCAACTTTTGTTCCTGTAGATATGGGACACACAGAGGGCGCCAATATATATGTGTTAGTAGTAGTAGGTGGTGGTGGTGGTGGTGGTGGTGGTGGTGGTGGTGGTGGTGGTGGTGGTGGTGGTGGTGGTGGTGGTGGTGGTGGTGGTGGTGGTGGTGGTGGTGGTGGTGATAGAGGGGATTGTGGAGGTGGTAGTGGTTCCTGTTGTCTGATTGATTATAACACTCATTTGCAGTATTACTGCTATTACTATTACTACTACTACTACTACCGTTACCATCATCATGACCTGAATCAACAAGAACATTATCACTAGCAAAAGCGCCACAACTGCCACCACCACTATTACCAACACAATTACCCCCATCACTACCATCACCACCACCACAAATACAACCACCACCACCTATATCACTCCCACAATCACTGCTACCCCTACCACAATCACCACTATCACCACCACAGCTACAACAAGCCATCAAAACTACTACTACTACCACTATCACCACTACCACCGTCCCACATCGGAAATTGAGAATTAAAAAAATGGTACCGAAAGGATATCCCTTAAAGGCATTTGGCGGAGATGTAAGTTCTTAGTTCATCGTTTACCAATATCTTACGAGTTTTGAAGATTGTGCAAAAGTTCGATTCTCTATAGAAATTGTCGTATGTAAAACTAAGAGAGGAAATTCCCCGCCTGTTTACAACTTCCTGGGGGGGGGGGGTTGTTTACTTCTAATTGGTCCTCATATTGAAAGCTTTTTTTTTTTTTACGAGTGATTTTATAAATTAATTTGGATAGACAGAAAAAGTAGGACCTACTTTTAGAGAGAGAGTGTGTGTGTGTGTGTGTGTGTGTGTGTGTGTGTGTATAAAGATATTAATGAGATATAAAACAAACTCATCAATTAGTAGTAATACAGTAATACAGACGTGCTCAAGATAATGCATAAAATTGATTGAATATAGTATTATCAAATAACTAGCCACAAACTTAAATATAGATCAACTCCCATTCACCTTAAGTAATGATAGCAAATTATACCATCACATTGTTATAATGGAACAATCTTTAACTCGTATGTACATTGTACAGAATGTATGATCACTGAAGGGCTCCCTCATATGGGTACAGTGGAACTAACTTAAAGCTGGGTGTACAATAACAGAAAAACTCTCGTGTTACGGGTCCTTTAAGTACTACTGCACCGCTATATTGGTACAATGGAACTGTCTTCTTTAAACTGAATGCGAACTGAATGTGGTACAATACGCAGTTGGTGAAAGGAACTATCTTTTAAAGAGTGACTGTGAAATGCTTGAATGCACTGGCACACTGGAGTGATACTTAAATTGTCTGTGGTATAACTCGATGTGGTAACTACACCGCTATAAAGGTGACCTGGAACCACGAATATTCGGCAGTCGGTAGTGTAACTGAAAACTATTGTACAGTGGGGCCACATATTTAAACGACATTTTTCGGATAACTGAACACGATTCCATACAGTGAGATATCCTCTGTAGGCTATCTGGAACAACTACACCTGGTAACTCCCAGAGTGACATGAGCAGAACCAAAACTCATATTTTCAATACAGTCTCCTCTAACTTAAATACACTTCACTTGTTCTTCAAATTCATTATGTCAGTCTTATATGAGTCTTCTTATTGCTACTCAAACCAAGCCTCAGTAGCCTTCTTCAGCTCCTCCTCATCCTGAAAGTGGCGCCCTCGGAGATGGGACTTCAGGTTTTGAAATTAATGATAGGTGTTCGGGCCACATATCTGGGCTGTATCTGGGTTTATTGTTCGAAACCACAGTCCTAACAAGACATCTTAACAGCACGTAAGCGTAATAGTCACCAGCGATCATTGCTTTATGCAGAAAGGAGGCAATCAGGAGAATCTATTAGGTATCCCATGAAATCTAAGCCTTGCATGATTTTGCCGGCAGAGGCTTGATGTCTTGGGGGTCAGAGGAGGCGATAGCTTCCATTGCATAGATTCCACCTTTGACTCAGTGTTTCACTGATGAATCCAGGTCACCTCTCACATCACTAGACGGAAGAGAAGGTTGGCTGGATCGGCTTGGCACTGTTAAAGGAACTCGCGCCTAGACACCATCATCTGTTTTCAATCCTGAGCGGTGTCATGTGAGGGTCATCTGAGTCATACACTCCCACCATATGTCGATTCATTACCTTTCCTGTGGAGGCTTCTCGTGATCGGAATTTTAAAATACATAAATAGCTAAGAGTTCAAATTAACATAACCAAAAATATGAATTATGCGGTATTGGTCTGCCTGTAAATTAGAAAATATTTTGAGCTCCTCCTGTATATTGCCGCCACTTTTCTAGGCTCTGTGCAACATGTGAAAATTACTTTAACACCATCAATTCTGGTTAGATTAAGCTAGGTTATGTTACGTTACGCTACGTTATGTTGGGCCAGGTTAGGTTACGTTAAGTTAGGCTGGATTAGTTCGATTGGGTGAGGCGAGATTAAGTAAGAGAGAGAGAGAGAGAGAGAGAGAGAGAGAGAGAGAGAGAGAGAGAGAGAGAGAGAGAGAGAGAGAGAGAGAGAGAGAGAGAGAGAGAGAGAGAGAGAATGAATATATTGAATATGGAACCACAAGATGAAAAGAATAAATTTAATTAACAGTTTGGTGTTGGGATACTTATAAGCAACAGGTGAATGAAGCTATATAGTGTCTGTTGAACTACTGGGCTATATTATATGTGGAGCTATATAGTGTCTGTTGAACTACTGGGCTATATTATATGTGGAGCTATATAGTGTCTGTTGAAGTGCTGGGTTATATTATATGTGGAGCTATATAGTGTCTGTTGAACTACTGGGCTAAATTATATGTGGAGCTATATAGTGTCTGTTGAACTACTGGGCTATATTATATGTGGAGCTATATAGTGTCTGTTGAACTACTTGGCTATATTATATGTGGAGCTATATAGTGTCTGTTGAAGTACTGGGCTATATTATATGTGGAGCTCTTATAGTGTCTGTTGAAGTACTGGGCTATATTATATGTGGAGCTATATAGTGTCTGTTGAACTACTGGGTTATATTATATGTGGAGCTATATAGTGTCTGTTGAAGTACTGGGCTATATTATATGTGGAGCTATATAGTGCCTGTTGAACTACTGGGCTATATTATATGTGGAGCTATATAGTGTCTGTTCCACAACTGAGCTATATAAGGCTGGAGAGAGGCAGTGATATGTAAGACCATTACTGTCACCACACACACACACACACACGCGAACGAACACATTTACACAGACAAACCGAGACACTAAAGCATAAACTCCAAACGGGGCTTATCATGTATACACACACCGCGGTCCTAATAGCTATAACAGTAAACAAACAAAACAATGGTACTACCGCCAACCACTGCTGTAACGCCTCTGTAATCCCTGTAACGCACGATAATAACAATAGAATTATGTTTTCTTCTGTAATTTTTTTTTTCTCGATGGGTTTCATATCTTTTCCGTTCTCTAGTTTCGTATTGGTAAGAAGGGATATTTTGTGCTAAATTATTGTATATTATTATAGGGGTCTCTCTCTCTCTCTCTCTCTCTCTCTCTCTCTCTCTCTCTTTCTATATATTATTTTTTTATGTCTACTACTATTCTATTTTCCTTCAATATTCATCTGTTGGTGTTATTTTGATTTTTATGCTTTCTCGTAAATTTTTCTCTTGTATTTTGTCTATATTTTCAATGATAAAAAATCTATCTCATGTCAATATTATTAAGTTCTATCTGAGGCTAATTGTATTATATTAAATTCTCAACCTATATTAAATTCCAGGTGTAAATATAATTAATACTCTAAAAGTATTATCAATATTAGCTGTTATTAAATAATTTATTATTTTTATCAATACCTTCTATGCAAATTAATCCAATATTTTTCTGAATTAATTAAATTGTCAATGATTCCAAAATTCGTATCTCTTTTACTCCATATAAATAATTTCTAGAGCATTTACTTCCAAATTGTTCTGTAGAAGCAAAGGTTCGCAGTAGGTCCTATCTAATTACTATTTACATAATTGGGTCCTAAATGAGCTACAATTTTTGGTAAGAGGTTAAAAAATATCCAGGTTAATTAATTTATGAGTATGTATGTATAATGATTTTTGTGGAGGACGCGTTGTATAATGTTGAGTATTTGTGTAATGTATAATGAAGTGAGAAGGGTGTAGGAGCTTACTAATTAAGCGGTTCACAATAATACTACTACTACCACTGATATCACTACTACTAGTAGTAGTATTTGTAAAAATAGAAATGATAATAATATTAAAAGAAGTTTGGAAGTAAGATACAGAACAAAATAATAAGCGATTATAATGATAGTGAGAATAAGAATAAAAAAATAGTAATCCATGTTTATCACTGAAATTCAAACAAATGATTCATTAAAAAAATTCCAGTACAGTGTATACTGCCTTCACACCATAAATTCATAATACAGTACTAACGTATTCGCTCGCTCGGTTGTGGGGCAAACTGAATATTTTTGATATATCACAATAACTGAACACAACACAAGCGCGCGCGCGCACACGCACACACACACACACACACACACACACACACACACACACACACACACACACACACACACAATATATATATATATATATATATATATATATATATATATATATATATATATATATATATATATATATATATATATATATAAAGGGTGAATCACAAAGATGTACATTAAATTGCAGGGTGTATTCCTGGAATAATTTTAAGACACAATGTATATATAACCAGATGTGATAGATAGATAGATAGATAGATAGATAGATAGATAAAATGAGAGAGAGAGAGAGATCACCCTTAAAACCACAATCTACTGCTTCAAGGCACTTGCTTTCAACTTTTCAGACTCTGGGAGTGAAAGCACCAACTGGGGCTTTCTCCAATACCGACAAGCAGAGAAAGTTTTCCTACAAAAGTTTGATACAGATCGTTGAACCGTCCAGTTTGTAGGAGAAGATCACGGCTTTCTTTTACAGTTTAACTTCATGAAATATAAGTTAATTATTAAGAGAGAGAGAGAGAGAGAGAGAGAGAGAGAGAGAGAGAGAGAGAGAGAGAGAGAGAGAGAGAGAGAGAGAGAGAGAGAGAGAGAGAGAGAGAGAGTCAACTTACCAACAACAGTAAGGTTGACTCTGGTTGTCTTGGTAGGGTGATGCCTAAAGTCAACTCGGCAGGTGTAGAGGCCCTGGTCAGCCCTGGTGAGAGAGGACACCTGAAGCACCGCTGGGGACGAGGTCAGCTGCAGCACCGCCCTCCTGCCCAGCTGCTGCTCGTCTGACCAGTGCCTCTCCTTCCCACGGCCCAGCCACCGCTCGTCCAACCTGCCAACAAAAGGTTAATAGTGTCAGATTTAGTTGTTTATCTCGGCCATCGTCAGGTAAATTTGCCAACAGAGAGATATTCATCAAAGCTGGTGTCATCCCCAGGACATTGTCAACGCTGGTCAACCTACCGGTACCGAAGTATTGAGAGTCATAGCCTTAATTTTTTAACCAGCTTTATATTAAATAAAACATACTGTTGTTCGGCGCAAGATTCCCCTTCCACCTTTGGTAGGCTGCCAACACAATGTCACCATCAGGAACATATATTTAACGTGCAAACTTGTACGGTAATTGTCCCTGCAACTTTGACACTGTATTAAAATGCTTCGGTGTTCTCAGAGCAAAAAGGTCATCGTGACATTTTCTGTGATGAAGTTGATAGCACATGTTGATTATATATATATATATATATATATATATATATATATATATATATATATATATATATATATATATATATATATATATATATATATATATATATATATATTACTGTTATGTTAAAGTCCAATAAACTTTTTTGTATTTAGTTGCTCCTATGTTCATAGCATTTATGTATGAAAGTTTTTGAGGAAAAGAAGATATATATCAAAAGGTTACTCTAATCGAGGATATGAGCAGTAAACATGTTTGTAGGATGAAACTATTGGTTATTCGTATTTTAAGTAAGACTAAATATCTTGTGTTGTGTTACAACTGTATTATGTGTTAAGCTACATTAATTTACTTCAGACTAAGTAACTAGAAACCCAATATGTTCAAGACGTGAAAAAATAAACAAATATTTCAAGTATAAGAGGACTATTACTGCGACACCCAGCCTAACCCTACCGCCCTGGTTATATAATAATTACACCTACATAGATTGTCTTCATAATACCCTAAATAATAATCCTGCTGAGTGAAATTAAGTCACCTCTGCCATCTAGCTTCTCGTAAACCGTGATGAACTTGGTCTGTTTCAGTTCATGTGACCATTATCACGTATACTTCACGAGCCATGAAAATATACACCGTGTTTTAGTTGGAACTGTGAACAATATACATAAAGGATACATGTAATAGACAACAGTGTGTTGTTTTCCTCCTTCCTACGCTTGTCTCTATCTTGCCATCTTTGTTATTATACCAGAATTTCAAGAGAATTTACAGGTCTGGATTCTTTAATATCATGGGTCAGTGAATAGCTGTATTGTGGTGTATAATTTTGTTAGTAATACAGAATAAAGTGTTTCTATGTTTATGACAGGAATAATTTGGTGTATTGATGCTTATAATTAATATATTTTCACTCTTCATTACCTATATATGTATTTCGTTATTTCCCGGTCAACATAAAATCATGTAACACAAAACATTATTCCAACTTCAAAAGGAAATATATATTAATGTATTCTGGCGCTTAAATTCAGCCTAGAAAAAAACAAATTCCTAGGGACGCCATTATTTCTATTGAATTACTGATGAAAAATCTCAGTCAAAATGTGAACAATTCATGACACAAACGGCGACCATTTTTTTTCTTTCAATTTACTTTAGAATGTTTTTCATTTATCAGACTAAATACTTCTTTGCAATTGTAGACACTTTGTATTTTCTAAGGTAATCTGAATAATGTGAATAATAAAAACCTAAGACAATATTATATTTACATGTGTACACCCAAGACAAAATTTATCTGTATCATACACAAATACACCCAGGAGTATGTGTCTCAATATACAAGTGTTCCTTAGACTATACATGTATCAATAATATACATACATCAAGTGTACGTGAGACAGCATCTATGTATACTAAACACAGTTATGATACTCAACACAGCGTGAATAATAGTCTCATAAAAACTTGCAGGAAATAGAGTAAAACTTTCGTCAATTTTCCAGTCATGATGAATACTTGGAGGAAAGACGTTAGTTTGACCGTGTCTGTTTCCAGGTTTATGTTACAGGTTTAATAATACAGCAATAACAAATATCTATCTTGCAATTAATCTTTTAAAAGTTTTTATTTACCGTGAAAATAAAGTCACTTACACATTACTTAGGCCTAGACTATACTTTATACTTACCATAAAAAACTGGATTAAAACTATATATACTTAACTCTGGGGATGGAATCAAACTAAATATAACATATGGGGAATTATTTAGCCATTTAACTTAACCTTAACAGAAAAATAATAATTTAATTCTCTCAAAAATGGATTTCTAAATACCATAAATGGAATTAAGGCATTTTAATTCTTTTCACTTTCGGTATTTATAAAGGCTTAGTATTACAATTAAATCTTTATTTTTTATGTGTGTTAGTAATAAAAGCACAAAACTACATTTTCATCACTTGTTAACTTCGTTTTCGCGAGTTCTCTTTTTTAGCGAGGTGTTATAATACATAATTTCGCGATTTCGCCAAGTTTTACACATTATGCAAAAAAATTATTAGTTAATATGTTAGTTTTCTTACAGATATGGAATTAATTGCATTTAAAGTGAGAGAGAGAGAGAGAGAGAGAGAGAGAGAGAGAGAGAGAGAGAGAGAGAGAGAGAGAGAGAGAGAGAGAGAGACGTATATAAAGAAAGCAAAAAAGATGAAAAGAAAGTGAAAGAACGAGAAGAGAGAAAGAACCAACAAAAGATAAAAATAGAAATAAAGAGACAGAAGGAAAGGGAAGATATAGAATGAAAGAAAAAGAAGAGAGATAAAAAGAGAGATAAAGAGAAAGAAAATAATACATTCAAACCCATTAGTGTCATTTCATTACTAGTAGTTGCCATTCCCTCCCATCGCTTAATCTGCCTCACTGCTAACAAACTATCTACAGGAAATTGCTATTGAAAAAAAAAAGTTTATTCACCCCACACTATAATACACCACTCAATTCATCATTTAATTTACCTCAAAAGTGAACAGAATTAACAGGATTTCTACAACACTAAAATCATTATTCATTTTAGAGTTTCTTCATTCATTAATTCACTGATTATAAATTGTTAAGATGTGATAAGAATGTGTTAGTAAATAATATAATGTTTAGTTTTATGTAATTTGATTTTTTTTTTCAGGGTGATGTTAAAAGAGATATAACACGTTATGTTTGGTATATAAACATTACAGGGATACACACAGAGAGAGAAGAGAGAGAGAGAGAGAGAGAGAGAGAGAGAGAGAGAGAGAGAGAGAGACCACTGCAGCCACAACTGACAGAAAACACACACACACACACACACACACACACACACACCATATTCCCCTGTCAAATTGCGCTGTAGAGAACTGTGGTACAACAGAAGCTGCCTAATGACAGAGAGAGAGAGAGAGAGAGAGAGAGGAGAGAGAGAGAGAGAGAGAGAGAGAGAGAGAGAGAGAGAGAGAGAGAGAGAGAGAGAGAGAGAGAGAGAGAGACGATTTTGGCCTCACTGATGATTGATGTTGCCTGTGATTCTGTTGACGGCCGCAGAGTGAGGGTGTAGGGGAGAGGCGGAGGAGGGAGGGGTGAAGGGGTAGGAGAGAGGCGGAGGTGAGGGAGGGAGGGTGTGAGAGCCGGGGGTGTAGGGAGAGAGGCGGAGGTGAGGGAGGTGGAGGGTGTAGGGAGAGAGGCGGAGGTGAGGGAGGGGTGGAGGTGTAGGGAGAGAGGCGGAGGTGAGGTGCGGGGTGGAGGGTGTAGGGAGAGAGCCGGGAGGGGAGGAAGGGGTGGAGGGTGGGGAGAGAGCTGGGGTGAGGGAGGGGTGGGAGGGGTGTAGGGGAGAGAGGCGGAGGTGAGGGAGGGGTGGGAGGGTGTGGGGAGAGAGCCGGGGTGAGGGAAGGGGGTGAAGGGTGTAGGGAGAGAGCCGAGGGGTGTGGGAGGGGGGGTGGGGGTGGAGAGAGGGAGGTGGAGGGGTGGAGGGTGTAGGGAGAGAGGCGAAGGTGAGGGAGGGGGTGGAGGGTGTAGGGAGAGAGCTGGTGAGGGAGGGGTGGAGGGGTGTAGGGGAGAGAGCCGGAGGGTGAGGGAGGGGGTGGAGGGTGTGGGGGAGAGAGCCGGAGGTGAGGGAGGGGTGGAGGGGAGGGGAGAGCTGGAGGTGAGGGGTGGAGGGTGGGGAGAGAGCCGGAGGGTGAGGGAGGGGTGGAGGGGAGGGAGAGAGCCGGGGGGTGGGAGGGGTGGAGGGTGTGGAGAGAGGCTGAGGGTGAGGGAGGGGTGGAGGGGTGGAGGTAGGGAGAGAGCCGAGGGTGAGGGAGGGGTGGAGGGTGTAGGGAGAGAGAGGGGTGAGGGAGGGGTGGAGGGTGTAGGGGAGAGAGGGGGTGAGGGAGGGGTGGAGGTGTAGGGAGAGAGCGGAGGTGAGGGGAGGGGTGGAGGGTGTAGGGAGAGAGCCGGAGGTGAGGAAGGGAGGTGAAGGGTGTAGGGAGAGAGCCGAGGGTGGGAGGGGGTGGAGGGTGTAGGGAGAGAGCCGGAGGTGAGGGAGGGGGTGGAGTGTAGGGAGAGAGGCGAAGGTGAGGTGGAGGGTGTAGGGAGAGAGCCGGAGGTGAGGGAGGGGTGGAGGTGTAGGAGAGAGCGAGGGTGAGGGAGGGGTGGAGGGTGTAGGGAGAGAGCCGGAGGTGAGGGAGGGGTGGAGGGTGTAGGGGGAGAGCCGGAGGTGAGGGGAGAGAGCGAGGTGAGGGAGGGGTGGAGGGTGTAGGGAGAGAGCCGAGGTGAGGGAGGGGTGGAGGGTGTAGGGAGAGAGGGGAGAGGGGAGGGGTGGAGGGTGTGAGGGTGAGGGGAGGGGTGGGAGGGTGTAGGGGGGAGAGCTGGAGGTGAGGGAGGGTGGAGGGTGGAGGAGAGAGCTGGGGTGAGGGGGGGGTGGAGGGTGTAGGGAGAGAGCTGAGGGTGAGGGAGGGGTGGAGGGTGTGGGGAGGAGGTGGAGGGGGTAGGGAGAGCGGAGGTGAGGGAGGGTGGAGGGTGTAGGGGAGAGCCGGAGGTGAGGGAGGGGTGGAGGGTGGAGGGAGAGAGCCGGGGGTGAGGGAGGGGTGGAGGGTGTAGGGAG